GACAATGTCCATAGGCAAAAAGTTCCTTTTTCAAGAGTAACTGGCAAGGGCTTATCGCACCTTCCCACGATGTCATCCAATCAGAGTTCGTTACTAGGCAAACAGTCCTGTTGCACCACATGACTTCTTTCCCATACACACACCAGATGTTATTTGGGTTACTGTGGTTTATCAAAGAGTCACAACAATTCCCATCTAATCACACCGAGTCCTTTTCTCAGGCTATCAGAATAACATTCTCTCTGCTCGCCTAGAAACAACCTGCTAGCATATCATAGATACTTTATACAAAGAAACAAGATGGAACCTCTCTTGCTCATTTCTTAATTACAAACCCCATATTCCTTACAAGACTTTAACTCAAAAACCCATCTCATCACAACAGGGACATGGTGGCGCTGGGGTTAAATCACAGAAGCCTCTATGCTGCAAGGTCAGAAGACCAGCCATCGTAAGATCAAATCCACGCGACCGAGTGAGCTCCCATTGCTTGTCCCAGCTCCTGCCAACCTAGCAGTTTGAAAGCATGTAAATGCGAGAAGATAAATAGGTACCACCTTGGTGGGAAGGGAACGGCATTCCATGTCTAGTCACGCTGGCCACGTGACCACGGAAACTGTCTTCGGACAAACGCTGGCTCTACAGCTTGGAGATGGGGATGAGCACCGTGCCCTAGAGTCAGTTACGACTGGACTAAATGTCAAGGGGAACCTTTAACTTTACCTTATTTTCGGGGAAACACGGTAGCATAATTGCAGACTGGTAAAATTTAACATCAGTTCTTCTAAATTATTACTTTGCTTCCAGTTACCTATGGCATCCTCAGGAGGAAGTCTGATGTTGTCTGTGTACAGATATTCCAGAAATGCTCGGTAAACAGGATACGAGAATTCATTTATTTCTATAATTTCATCATTATTGTTGTTTAGCACTGATCGGAAATGTTCACACCTGAAGAATCACATATAAAACAAAAATCAATCATGATGCTGGCTATCAGTTTGATTCTTGATATGTAACCAAGGAACAATGGAAAGAGACAAAGTCACTGTGAAACAGAAGAGAGAGAAGAGAAACTAACAAAGAAGTTTCGAATTTTAAACCAGTTGCAAGAGTAAATAATAGTCAACATTAGACTGAGAGTAAAGAAGATAAAGCAACATCAGCCCCCTAGTCTCCAGAACATGGGACTGAATGCAGAAATATTAAATCTGAAGGAAATGAAACCAGCAAGTCTGACCTCAGTTTTAGGAAATATCAGAAAATTCTACAGTGGTGCCTCGCTTAACAAGCGCCCCGTTTAATGACGAATCCGCATAGCGATGGCTTTTTTGCAATCACTTTTGCGATCGCATTGCGATGTTGCCTATGGGGAAAAATCGCAAAGCGATTTTTCCCCATAGCCCCATTTTCCCCCAGCTGACCGGCGGGGGCTTGGGAAGGACCGCGGGGGAGCCCTCCCCCACGGTCCTCGCAAAGCCCTAGCCGGCATTTCCCCCCAGCTGAACGGCGGGAGCTTCCGAAGCCACCGCCATCCAGCTGGGCAAAAATGCCGGCTAGGGCTTGGGAAGGACCACGGGGGAGCCTTCCCCCGCGGTCCCCGCAAAGTCCTAGCCGGCATTTTCCCCCAGCTGAGCGGCGGGAGCTTCCGAAGCCACCGCCGCTAAGCTGGGCGAAAATGCCGGAGGTGGCTTCGGAAAGACCGCGGGTGAGGGTTCCCTCCCCTGCAGTCCTCCCAAAGGCTCCATTTTCGCACAGCTGATTGGTGGTTCCAAAATGGCCGCCAGCTGTGTTGCTTCACTTTAGAGGCACCGAAAATGGCCGCCCCTATGGAGGATCTTTGCATAACTGTGAGTTCCCCCCCCATAGGAACACTTTAAACAGGGTTTAATGCGTTCCTATGGGATTTTTTGCCCCGTATAGCGACGAATCCGGATAGCAATGATTTATCCGGAACGGATTATCGTTGCTATGCGGGGCACCACTGTATTTGTGTAGCTATTAATATCGGTGGGCCCAGTCCACAATTCTTGCACTAATGCATATGTGCAAACCTAGCTACTCACCAGATTTCACACATCCTGAATGTTTTGGCACAGATCATTTTTTAAAAAATATATAGTATTAAAATACATTCAGAAATACTTAAAAACTTATCCATAAGCAAATTTTTGTGCAGATGAAAAAAGAGAGAATAGGGAAACACGACTGAACAGACATGGATTTGCATATGCAGAGTGACAGACAAACAAATTGATGGACTCTCTCATCTCTAGACTTGAATGTTGTACATTTTGTGTCATTAAGCAGATCGCGCCTGTTTTCTAAGAGGAACAGAGGAGAGGCAATATAGTTTTCAGAGATTTTTAATGGATATGCTACCTTAATGAACACTAATCTTAAACTAGTTAATTCAAATGGGGGAGAGCTGATACACACCTGCAACCCACAAAATAAATTTAATGTGTGTTGAGTTTTGGAATGTGGGGTAGAAATTACTTTTATAATTAAAAGGGGTGAAAGCTATAGAATATACAAGAAATTCAGTACAGTGGTGCTTCCACTTACGAATATCCCTACTTACAACCAATTTGACTTACGACCAGCTCCGGCCACAAAACTTTGCTTCTACTTGCGACTGGAGCTTCCACTTACGAACAGAAAAAGAAAGGGAAAAAAGCCGGGAAATTCAAATTGGTAACTGTAGGTGGCAAAAGAGGCTGATTCTTTGTAACTCTTTCGCCCCGGCAGTTAGAGTGTGTATGTCATAGTTGGAGGCTTAGGACTGCCACCTTCTGCTTCGGAATGAGCGTGTGTGTGTTTACAGGGAGGTAAGGTGCTGTTTTCTGCTTTTTAAAAACTTCTGGATCTTTTTACAGCATGGTTTTAGGCTGGGGAGGGTTATGTTTTTTGTGCTGTGATGGGTCTTGGGGGTTTGTTTTTTTGGGGGTTCCCCCCATTTCCGATGGGTCTTGGGGTTTTTTGTTGCTTTTGGGGTGTTCCCCCCATTTCTGATGGGTCCTGCATGCTTCCCTTGCTTTTTCCTTTGTTTTCTTTGCATTTCTGACCTTGTCCCTCTGTTCTCTGTGCATTTCCAATCTGCTCCGTTTGTTTTCTGTGCATTTGCAATGGGTCTTGCACAACTGATTGCTTTTCTCCCCCACCCTTCATCCAGAAGGGATTAATAATGTTTCCAATGAGTCTTGCAGTGATTTTTTTTTGGTGATTTTACTCTTTGGCTCGAACAGATTAATAGGGTTTCAATGCATTCCTATGGGAAATGGTGCTTCAACTTACAACCATTTTGACTTACGTCCATCTTCTGGAACGGATTATGGTTGTAAGTGGAGGCACCACTGTAGCATTATAAATATTTTATTACTAAAGAAGAAACAAAACAGATTAAAGAAATGACTGTGATTAGAGAGGATGAGTTAATTTCATACCTAATTTTGAGGAGTACTTTGTGAACATGAATGTATTTTCCATCCACTAGAAACCTCAAATCTGCATTATCTGGGTTGTCAAATTCCTTCTTTATTGACTGAGCTACTGTGAAATGATCATCGGCTTCTGAAAGAAAGACACCCACAAATACATTTTTTTTACAATGTTATCCTCCCATTTCAAGCTATCCTGTTGCATGAACACAATGCACTAATGAAAGTCAAGAAAGCAGAACTATTTCACTCAGTACAACTAAAAGTAACTCTGCAAAATTAAAATTCTTGGCACATAACAAAAATGCATAGTGAGAACAAAGAAGGAATAGTTTAAATATTTATTTATTTATTTATTTATTTATTTATTTGATTTTTACCCCGCCCCTCTAGACCATGTCTACTCGGGGCGGCTTACAAAATAAAACAAAACAGTTTAAACAAAAACCCTTCAGAGTACAACATTTGAAATTACCATATCAGGATTTCTTTTCTTAACAATTCTTGTCTTGTGACTTGTAACTGATGGTTTGTGACTACATCCTCTTTTGCCACAGAAGGTAATGGAAGTTACCACAGTTTGTACTCTGTCCAGGCCTTTCCCACAAACACATACCTACCTGTCAGTGTAGTTCTTTGAGTGGACCTCTGTGATTCACATTGTGGGTAATCCACACATGCACGGAGCCTCATCAGACATTCTAGAGCTTCTGTGATAGCAAAAAGATACATTAGTGCAGACCTTTCCCCCTCGATATATGTAGCTTGGCGCCAAAGCTCTTCCTTCAGTTAGGTCAACCACCACATAAAACAAACAGGGCGTGACAGTGAGGAGGCTACGTTGGGATGCGTGAATCACAGAGGTCCACTCAAAGAACTACAATTACAGGTAGGTAGCCTGTCTTTCTTCTTCGTGGCCTTTGTGAATCACACTGTGGATGACTAACAAGCTGTCTTACCCGATGACAATACAGTGTGCCCCAAAGCAGCATCAGATTTCTGCCGAATGTTTAATAATCTGTAATGGTTGATGAATGTGGGCGGCTGTCACTAAGTGGCAGAGGCACAGACGTCTTGTAGGGAAATGCCTCTAAGAAATGCTGTAGATGTCACTAACACCCTGGTAGAATGAGGGCGGATACTCTGTGGCACTCGGACTCAAGCAAGCTGATAAGCCAGCTGGATGGTGGAAGCAACCCACTTGGATATTCTTTGTGAAGTAATTTGGAGACCTTTAGCAGGAAGCTGATAGCTGACAAACAGTCGAGCTGAGCATCTGAAGGGTTGTGTGTGGGATATATAAAAAGCAAGAGCCCTTCTTACATCCAACGTATGGAGGATTTTTTCTTGCGGAGTAGACGGAAATGGGAAGAAGGATGGAAGAACCAAAGGTTGGGACAGGTGGAACTGGGAAACAACTTTGGGTAGAAAGGAAATATCTACAAAGAATCTGACCTTATCTGGGTAGAAATGGAGATAAGGGTATCAGATCTTTAGGCCACCAGTTCAATAGCACGTCGTGCTGAAGTAATAGCCACGAGGAATGCAGTTTTGAAGGAAAGTAACCTGAGGTCAGTTGACACAAGGGGCTCAAACAGAGCTTTTGTAAGTTGTTGGAGAACCAGGGTCAGTGACCACTGGGACGGTGGAGGATACACATCAGGGTATATGTGTGATAGTCCTTTAAGGAAATGTTTTACAGTAGGATGTCTGAAAAATTTAGCTGCTGGAGAGGTTGGTGGTTGATGAGGGATAGACTTTGAGGGATGAAAGGGAAAGGCCCTTAGATTTAAGTTGTAAGAGAAAACAAAGGACTGTGATAAGAGAAGGGTTAATTCAGTGGTTCTTAACCTTTGTTACTCGGATGCTTTTGAACTGCAACTCCCAGAAACCCCAGTCAGGACAGCTGGTGGTGAAGGCTTCTGGGAGTTGCAGTCCAAAACTCCTGAGTAACCCAAGGTTAAGAACCAGTGGGTTAATTGACGGTAGTGTTGTTGTTGAAGTAAAGGACTGGAATTTCTTCCATTTGTACATGTATGCTTTCCCGGTTGAAGGTTTTTTCGCATGATGAATGATATTCATAAGGGAGGCAAAATCCTCCACACTGCCAGGTGAATGGTGGGCAGATCTGGGTGGAGAATTTGATTGTCGTCTTGTGTGAGCAGGTGAGGAAGTCAGGGCAGGTGATATATGTTGGACGACAGATGAAAGACTGGGAACCATGGCTGTCATGGCCACCATGGGGCTAGGAGGATAGCGTTAGGTCTGTCCTGCTGAAGATGGACTACCACCTTGTGTAGGAGTGGGAATGGTGGAAACAGGTAAGCTAGTGACTTGGGCCAACGTCTGACGAATGTGCCTCTGTGGGAGTGTTTGCCTAGTCCTGCACGGGAATGATAACGTTTGTGCTTCCGGTTCTTCCGGGATGCAAAGAGGTTGATCATGGGTGTGCCACAATGTTTGCATAGGGAAAGACAGATTGGTCTAGTTCCCATTTGTGAGCTTGTGACTCCTTGCAACTGAGCAAATCTGTGAGGTCATTCTCCTTACCTGCTATATGTATTTCCGTGAGGCAAATGTGATGGGCGAGGCACCATTCCCAGAGGTCGACAGCCAGATAAAGGAGGCTCGGGGAGTGAGTGCCCCCTTGTTTGAGGATATAATACATTGTGGTAGTGTTGTCTGTGGCTATCTGAACCACTTGCCCTGTAAGGTGGTCTCTGAAAGCTTTGCAAGCTTTTATTATTGCTAGTAACTCCAGCTCGTTGATATGGAGCAAATTTGTCTCTGTGACCACTGGGCATAGATCCATAAGGATTAGCAGTGAGCACCCCAGCCGGTGAGTCTGGCGTCTGGCGTAACCTGGATTTGTGGACGTGGTTGTTGAAAGGGCTGTCCCATCATCAGGTTTTGTGCAGAGTGCCACCATGTGAGTTGGGATGTGAGTCTAGAGTGACTCGCAGCAGGGTATGTGGTAAATCTGTCATCAGGTTGAATGAGGCCAGGAACCTCATTTTGAGGTGGACATGTTGGACCACTGAAGTCATGGATGCCATAGTATCAAGGACACATTGGACTGCTGGTGCAGGTACAAGCACGTGAGGAGTAAAGGTACGGAGTAACTCTAACAAGTTGAGACATTTGTCTGGTGGGAGAAAGGCTTGAGCGTGTTTGGAGTCTAGGATTGCTCCTATATAGTGAGCTAGTTGTGCAGGCTGTAATTTGGATTTTTAAAGGTTTACTGCCCTCAGATATGCAGATGATACCACTCTGATGGCAGAAAGTGAGGAGGAATTAAAGAACCCTTTAATGAGGTTGAAAGAGGAGAGCACAAAAAATGGTCTAAAGCTCAACATAAAAAAAAAACTAAGATCATGACCACTGGTCCCATCACCTCCTGGAAAATAGAAGGGGAAGATATGGAGGCAGTGACAGACTTTACTTTCTTGGGCTCCATGATCACTGCAGATGGTGATAGCCACAAAATTAAAAGACGCCTGCTTCTTGGGAGGAAAGTGATGATAAACCTTGACAGCATGTTAAAAAGCAGAGACATCACCTTGCCAACGAAAGCTGACTGCCAAAGAATTGATGCTTTTGAACTGTGGTGCTGGAGGAGACTCTTGAGCGTCCCCTGGACTGCAAGGAAATCAAACCTATCCATTCTGAAGGAAATCAAGCCTGAGTGCTCACTGGAAAGACAGATCCTGAAGCTGAGGCTCCAATACTTTGGCCATCTCATGAGAAGCAAAGAATCCCTGGAAAAGAGCCTGATGTTGGGAAAGTGTGAAAGCAAGAGGAGAAGGGGCGACAGAGGAGATGGCTGGACAGTGTCATGGAAGCTACCAACATGAATTTCACCAAAATCTGGCAGGTAGTGGAAGACAGGAGGGCCTGGCGTGCTCTGGTCCATGGGGTCACAAAGAGTCGGACACGACTAAACGACTAAACAACAACAAAAGGTTTACTGCCAGGCCAAGATCCTGGAGGAGGGACAAGGTGAAGGAAATGTCTTGTTGTGCCTTGCAATGGGAATGGGCCACAAGGGGCCAGTCGTCGATTTATGGAAAGATGTGGATTTTGTGAAGTCTGAGGTATGCTGCCACAGGGGCCGTGCATTTGGTGAATACCTGAGGAGCGGTTGCGAATCCGAACGGAAGTCTTTTGAATTGGTAGGCCTGAGTTCTTAGTTGGAAGCATAGGCAAGGCCTGTGAGAAGGGTGGATGGAGATGTGGAAATATGCATCTTTGAGGTCTATTACTGCGAACCAGTCCTTCTTGCATAGGAGAGGGAGGATGGATTTGAAAGTAACCATACAGAACTTGGCGGTAGTGATGCATTGATTTAGTTCCCCAAGGTCAATAATGGATTGAAGGCCTCCTTTTTTGGGGATGGTGAAATAGTGAGAGAGAAAACCTTTGCCTGCTTGAAGACTCTTCCATAATAGGAGATGGCAAAGTCGGTTGTGGAGGATCAATGTGTACAGATTTGACCCATTTTGTCTTTTTAGAGGTTGATTTATCTTTTTTCTTTTTAGGCAGTTCCGGGGCTCAAGCCGAAATCTTCGGCATCGATGTCGATTTTGGTTTTGACGTTGACATCAATTTGGATTTTTCAGGCTTCTCCTTAGGGCGAGGAGAAGGAGTCATAGAGCTGGGAGCAGGTTGATTTTGAGTTTGCCGCTCTATCAACGGATCTGAGGATCTTGTCTCCACCAAAGCCAAGGGAGAATTGAGAAACTTCTCCCAGAGGTAGGATCTATGTCTCTGAAGCCTAGGTTTGAGTGCTGGCTTTGTTAGTTTCTTGCATGCCGCGCAAGAGTGGGTGGGATGTTGTTCACCCAAACAAAATAAGCAATGGTCGTGTCTGTTAAGGGTATCTTATTAGAACAGACGACGGACCGCTTAAACGGGCCTGGCGAGGCCATAAAGAGCGGGAAAAAGAGAGAAAAAACAGTGGGGAGGTTGGGAAGCCAAAACACGGATAGTGAAAAATAGAACAAACTCACAGGGGAACATCAATTCGATGACTGGAACAAAAAACAGTAAATTTGAAATACTGACTGTTTTCGAATACAATAGAATCTAAAAGGTAAGTGATAATCGCTCAGTTTTTCCGGAGGACGTCTAACAACACAGTGGGAAAAAAGAACTGAGGGGAATCTAGGGTGGGCGGAGCATGTGCTCCATGGGGAAACATTCCACTAATCATGTATCTTTAAGCTCTAGAATCTTCTGAGACATTCAGCGCATGTGCAGAACAACCCATTTGTGTGTATTCACGGAGGCCACAAAGAAGAAAAAGTATAACTGAAAAACGTTCTGGAGAACTGATTCACTAAAGAGAATATTAATGTTTTCTTGGGCTGAATTTTTCAAGGACTCTTTAAGGACTCATCCATCTTGAACACCCCTGGTTCTTCACATTGCTTTAAAGGAAACATTTTCATTTTTCACATTTCTTTGAAGGAACCGTTTTAGCCTTTAGAAAACCTCTGAAGTTTTAATATACAGTGTTGCCTTGCTTGACGACGTCAATCCGTTCCAGCGAAATTGCTGTAGAGCAAAATCGTCGTCAAGTGAAAGTAAAAAGCCCATTAGAATACATTAGAAACCGGTTAATGCGTTCTAATGGGCAAAATACCTCATCGTAAAGCAAAGATCCTCCATAGGGCAGCCATTTTCTGCTCCCTATAGAGCGAAGAATCCATCCCTAACACAGCGGGGAGCCATTTTGCACAGCGGGCGGCCATTTTGGAAACCCGACGATCAGCTGTTTTGTCATAAAGCGAAAAATTGGTTCCCGAAGTAGGGAACCGATCATCGTTAAGTGGTCTTTTGCTGTCTAAACATCATTTTGCAATTGCAAAAACCTAATCGTTAAGCAGATTTGTCGTGGAGCGGGGTACTTGTTAAGCGGGCACCACTGTACATTTCCTCTTCCCAATATTAATCAGAGATATAAATACCATACTGACCACAGAAAAGATATGCTGAACTTTTAAAAAACAAAGTATCTTTACTGCCTTTCTAAGCATCTTACCATATTTTTCCATGTATAAGACTATACTGTTGTCTAAAATCTTTAGATTAAAAACTGAGGGTCGTCTTATACAGGGAAGTAAGCTGAGGAGAGAAAACAAGCGGAGGGGGAAGCAGGGATCAAAGTATTCCTGCCGGGCTTTGATCCCTGCTTGCCCCTACACTTGCTAAGCGTTAGCAAAAGGAAAGCAGAGATCAAAGTGCTGCAGGATTGGTTTGATCCCTGCTTTCCTTTTGCTAACGCTTAGCAAGTGGAGGGGAAAGCAGGGATCAAACCAATCCTGCAGCTCTTTGATCCCTGCTTTCCTTTTGCTAACGCTTAGCAAGTGGAGGGGAAAGCAGGGATCAAACCAATCCTGCAGCTCTTTGATCCCTGCTTTCCTTTTGCTAACGCTTAGCAAGTGGAGGGGAAAGCAGGGATCAAACCAATCCTGCAGCACTTTGATCCTTTTTACCCTACATTTGCTAAGCCCCACTTAGATTTCTTAATTTTGGGTTAGAAAGGGGGGTGTCTTATACATGGTAATTATATTTTTAAAAATCCCTTTTATCTGCCAAGGCCAGCAAGTAACATTCTAGTAAACGAGAACAAAAGTATATACCAATATACTTTAATCCTTTAATGAAATGGATGTCTCCCTCTACAAATATGTGTGGAATCTCTTAAAATGGCCAGTGCCTACTATTTCACTACCCAAAGCAGCATTGCTATCACACTTCAATGATGAGCCACAACATTTCACATATCTTTTCCTAGCGCTACTTCAAATCTAACCTAAAACCTAGCTCCCTCCACTTTTGTTAGGCACGAACAAAACAGTTGACTCTTGGAGAGCAACCTTTTAATTGCATTGCTTTTAGTACTGAGACTATAACTGGTCTTAGATCCCAGTCAGAGTACTAGAATACTACAGCTTCAAAGAAGCAGTCTGATTTTGGAAGCAGATCCACTGGCAGACATTTACCCAACAGGTTTTTGACTTTGACAGTTGAGCTTCCACTCCACTTTAGTGGAACTACACTCCATCCATACTTGGGTCAATCAGATCTCAATCAGTGAACCCCCATTTTGATTGTGGGTTTTATCGAGTGTGTGGGATTCTGAGTTTTATTTGTAAATCGCCCACACTAGTGGTATATAAATCAAATAAATAAACAGTCCAGCAAAAGAAGGAGCAGAATACTTTACCTTCGGGGGAAGAGACAAGCTAACAAATCAAAGGAATGTGGCTTACATTTTCACCAAACTGTCATGCAAATTATATACAAATCTGAACTTAAACTAACCATTAAAAAATGAAAGTAGTATGGTACCTTTCAGACCAACAAATTTATTTCAGTATAAGATGTGTGGACTACAATACACTTTTTAAGATGCACAGTATCTGGGCTACAGGTATCCACTGTGTATGGTGGCATGACAACTCAACTAAGCTCATTATCAGATGTTATCTGATAAAACTGTTATCTTCTGTTTCCCATTTCATTTCATCCCACTACCATTCCCATACCAAAATTCTGACCTCACCACAACAAACTACTTCCTGAAAACTTAAATAATTTACCTCTTTATCCTCATTGACAGGATTCCCAGGATGTAAATGTCATCAACACAGTGAATGTTCACTGTTGTTATGTGCCATTGAGTCGGAAATAACTTATAATGACCTTAATATAATTATCCGAACAAGGTTTTCAAGGTGAGGTAACTAAGGAGTGGTTTACCAGTTCCACTCTTCCAATGAGCTTCCATGGCTTAGCAGAGATTCAAACCCAGGCCTCCTGAGTTCTAGTCCATCTGTCTATCCACTACACCACACTAAATAACCTGACTGTTAATAATGCTTATAATGTTCATTTTCACCTTGCAAGATCATTAATAATAACTGTGTCCTATCAACCTAATTCTGACTTATGGTAAGTCTTTTCTGAGTAGACTACTCAGAAGTGGTTTCCCATTCCCTACTTCTGGGAGCATCCTGAGACTCGTGCAGCTTGTTCAAAGCCACACAAGCTGGCTGTTTTCCCAGGAGGCACAGTGAACCTCTAACCTCTCGCACTGCAGCCAGACACCTAAACCATTGAGCTATATTAACTAAGTGTTAATATGCAATTTTCATTTTCCGTTTGTCATTCCATTTGGCGCTATGGCCCAGATATTTTATGCACTATATGTCTGAAGAAGACTGTAATCCATGAAAACTTACAAGCAAATAAATCTGTCTGTCTCGAATGTTCCACTATACTTTTTTTGTTTTTCCAGAAACAGATTAACATGGTTAACTCTCTAGAAAACCAAATATTAACATAGTTTAATAAATTAAAATGTAGAAACAAACAAATTCCATATGAAGCTCACCTACTGAAAGAAGACGCCATGTCACTGCAGGAGTAGCAAAACAAGCAAACACATCATCTGTACAGGTGAAGTGGGTGAGGAATGGAAGAGGGATGGGTTGCCCCCGGCACTGACCCCACATGTACACTTGACTACCCTGGGTTTTAGCAGCAGAGGTATGAGTAGAGTGACATGCAGCAATCTCTATGATTCTAAATTTAAAAGCAAACATACAAAATAGTAGTAAGAGACCAATATGCAGTGGCAAAGACCAGGACTTTTAAATGTAGCTGACCTGTGCTAGAGTATTATTTAAATGTCCATGCAAACTAGCCCCCTTGCCTGCCCCCTCATTGTGAAATACTTCATCAGTTTTGTAAAATTAGAAGATTTTAATCCCTTTGTTTTGTCACTTTGTATTTTTATGCCTGATTTGCACTTCCAGACACAGCAGCATGATGTTCTGACACCACTCCCTACTACTGAATATCACCCACTGACACTGAGTCTCAGTCCTGCCACACACTGGGAACCAGAGGCTAATGACAATTACTCATGGTTCCCAACCTTGATTAACGCAGGTGTTCTAGGACTATACTTCCCAGAAATCCTGGGCAGCACAGCTGGTGGTGAAGGATTCTAGGAATTGTAGTCCAAGAACATCCAAGTTAACCAAGATTTGGAACCACTGATACAAGGTCTTAAAGTCTTCTCAGCAGAATAGACTTTTCCTTTTGAAGTGAACTCAATGATAATTTATCACCTTTCCTGTATCAGGAGGATGCCACATCCTTCAAGTGTAACAAACACCACCAGGAAGTAATACATTCTGAGATGTCTTGTTCTTGAAATATCAGGACATGCAGTACCCCCTCCCTATTGCATGTCCTAGAAATAACGGCTTAAAGCCTCTAATTTGACTTTCCAGAAGGACTTCAGGCAAACCATGATTTGGAGTAGTTTGCCTCCTTTTGTCTCTCAGTGACTCTGGACTCAGCTTTGCAAGTTACTAAATTAAATTCACTCCTGTCTCCAAAACATTGCCTTACTTCAGACGTGACAGGAAAGGCAGTTACCACAACCTGTAATTTACAGATATATTGTCAGGTCCAAACAAATAATTGTGAACAGGCTTGAGTTTAGTCAATGTTTGCATCCAGGCTTGCCAATGAACCAACTATTTATTGTGACAAGAATGAACCTGGTGTCTGCATTGTTCACCTCCTTTCCTATATTGTTCCAGCACAACCATAGAAGACGATACTGGAAGCATTTGTTTCTCTTGAATTATCACAGTTTAGTGTTAAATCTAAATTCCACGAACACTAGTTTATCTAAGTTTGGGTTTATGTGAGACAATCACATTTGAACATTAGAAAGACATCTCACTGTTTGTGTCCTCGTAAACGAAGACCTGGGCTAAAAACTCAGTATTCAGAATATTTGGGTTTCCCCCCCATCCTAACACTGTTTCTGACTGAAGCAAAGGAAGCACTAGACACTGCCCATGGACATAAAGAAATAACCTTGCATAAAATTCTTAAGCATAATCCATACTTTATAGTCTCAGTGTTTTCCTCGTGATAATGATTTAGAGTGTAATAAGAGCAGCTTTAGTCCTCCAGGCCTAGTTAATATGTTTCTTTCACTACACTCTATTTTCCCATTTGCCATGCTGTTTTCTAATACAGTGGTGCCTCGCATAACGAGCGCCCTGTTTAACGACGAATCCACAGAGCGATTCGTTTTTTGCGATCGTATTTACGATCGCATTGCGATGTTTTAATAGGTAAAACATCGCATTGTGATGATCGGTAAGCGTTTCGCTTACTGATCTTCGCATTGCGATGGTTAAAAACAGCTGATCGGCGGGTCCAAAATGGCCGCCGGGTAAACAAAATGGCCGCCGCAAGCATTTTCGCGCGATTTCCTCGCTTATCGAGGCGGCAAAAATGTCAGCCGGATGGAAGATCTTCGCATAACGGAGAGTTTTCGCCTCATAGGAACGCATTAAACAGAGTTTAATGCGTTCCTATGGGGTTTTCTATCCGTATAGCAATGTTTCCAGATAGCGACGATTAATCCGGAACGGATTAATGTTGCTATGCGGGGCACCACTGTACTTAAGTTGGCCAAGGAAGAATGTAGCACAAGCTGAACTGCAAAAGTTACATACCACCTTACATCCTATCATATTTTTGCTCTCCCAAGACATAATTTTGACTATGTGTTCTCTCAGAGTAATTTTTCTTTTTAAATTCTATGGCTCTATGATCCTCTGAAAATATCTCAAACCAAGTAAATCCAATCACTGAGCAGGCTCTATTTTTTTTTTTTTTTGGTAAATATCAGAGTTAACAGATCCTTCTGGCCAGTTATCTAAAGGCACCCCATAGTTATACCCTTTTTCATGAACCTGAGCATGATTACAAATATGTCCTAAAATAGCACTTTTATTGATACTTGATTAGGAGCAATGGAAACTAGCTACAAAAGAGTTAATATAAAATGTATTAATAGCAGCAAGATTAATAATAGCAAGGCACTCAAAAGTAAAATATGGTTTCCAATTAAATGAATGGTATAAAGCAGTGGTTCCCAGCCTAGGGTAACCCAAGTGTTTTTGAACTGTAACTCCTAGAAACCCAGCCAGCACAGCTGGTGGTGAATGTTTCTGGTAGTTTAATCCAAGAACACCTGTGTTACACAAGGTTAGGAACCACTGTATAAATTAACAATGTAATCTTAAAAGTTAAGAAAGGTTTGTTAAACAAGAATATTTTATAGATTATGTAAAAGGGAAAGGTTGGGCACCACTGCAAGCATCAATGAAGTCCTGGAAGAAGACTGTACATGGAAGAAAGTTGACTATATCTCCAATTGTCCCCTGGGGGGGGACATTATGTTATATTTTATGTTATGTATGTTGTGTTGTTAGTTATGTAATTTTGTTTGTTTTATATTTTTGTTTTTTGTTTTTCTTTAAAAAATGTAAAAAATAAAGCCACATTAGGAAAAAAAGGGGAGAGAGAATATTACCTGTCTTTATCCACAGTGACGGGCACAGGATATGATTGGTTGCTTCTATTCCCAGTGCCTAACTGGCCATAGGAATTGGCTCCCCAAGCATACAACTGACCTTCATCTGTTAAGACTAATGTGTGTGCATAACCACAGACAACCTAGAAAGAAAGGGGGAAACCACACACCCTAAAACAATCTGTGTCAATTGACTCTTCCATTGCATTTTTCAGTATAAAAAACTTAACATTAAAAACTCCCAACATAATTCGGGGGAAATTATATCTGAAGAAAAAGCTGTCATGTAAAGCTTTCCTTCAAATGGTTAAGCCCACCCCATTTAAATTCCATGACTTCTTCAGGATATAATAAATATAGCCAGAAATTCCCATGCAATTACTGTATTTTTCCATGTATAAGATGCTCCTTTTTCCTAAAATCATTACACTAAAAATTGAAGGGTGCCTTATACACAGAGGAGAGAACAAAACGGCCGATACCTTGTCTCTGTAAACAGGCTTCCTTCAATCACGAGGTTTAGCTTCCTACAGTCAGGAGACTTTGTTGTTGTTGTTGTTTAGTCATTAAGTCGTGTCCGACCCTTCGTGACCCCATGGACCTGAGCATGCCAGGCCCTCCTGTCTTCCACTGGCTCCCGGAGTTGGGTCAAATTCGTGTTGGTAGCTTCAATGACACTGTCCAACCATCTCATCCTCTGTCGTCCCCTTCTCTTCTTGCCTTCACACTTTCCCAACATCAGGTTCTTTTCCCGGGAGTCTTCTTTTCTCATGAGATGGCCAAAGTATTGGAGCCTCAGCTTCAGGATCTGTCCTTTCAGTGAGCACTCAGGCTTGATTTCCTTCAGAATGGATAGGTTTGTTCTCCTTTCAGTCCAGGGGACTCTCAAGAGTCTCCTCCAGCACCACAATTCAAAAGCATCAATTCTTTGGCGGTCAGCCTTCTTTATGGTCCAGCTCTCTCTTCCATACATCGCTACTGGAAAAACCATAGCTTTGACTATGCGGACCTTTGTCGGCAAGGTGATGTCTCTGCTTCTTAAGATGCTGTCTAGGTTTGTCATTGCTTTCCTCCCAGGAAGCAGGTGTCTTTTAAATTTGTGGCTGCTGTCACCATCTGCAGTGATCATGGAGCCCAAGAAAGTAAAATCTGTCATGAGGAGACTTAGCCTCCTCCAATCACAAGCCTAATGGAACTGACGTCAGCTGATGCTGAACAAAGCAACTGGAACACACCTCGTTGGAGGTGGAGCCTGTAGGCTCAGATGCAACAGACTCGTAATGTCCGAACGTTCTGAGCCCAGAGGCTGAATATTCAAGTTTTCTTAATTTCCGAGTTAGAAAAGGGGGGGTGTCTTATAAACATAAAAATATGGTAACTTATCTGGCAGAAAAGGTCCATTTCTTACTTCTATCCCCGCTCTGGGCCTTTAGGAAACTGTCAAAACACAAATGCTGTACTTGACTCTGGCTGCCAAGTCTGTGCCCTGTTCTTCCATTTTTCCAATGCTTCTTCACAGGACTCCACTCTGTACAGTAATATATTCCTTGATACAGTGGTACCTTCGTTTACGAATGCAATGTTAACGTAATTTTTTGTTTATGAAGCAAAATCCCTTGAAAATAATGCCTCGGTTTATGTTTTTCGGGTTTATTTCGGAGTACGAAGAAAGTTTCCCCAGGATGCATTGTGCCTGGAGATTTATAGCATCACCCCGTTCCTATGGCACTCCACGTTTTGGTTTACGAATTTTTCGCATTATGTAATGTCCCATCGAACGCATTAAATTCATAAACCAAGGTACACCTGTACTTTATTTACATGAAAATTCAATATCCCCAACTGTACTCCATGTTCTTCCTCTTCAGAATTGTGCAGATTTGTCTCATGTTTCTTCTGCATTGTATCATAGCTTCAGATAAATCTGGGAAGAATAGGATTATATCCTCTTTAAATTTAATCTCTTGCAGGCCTCTGATTTTTTCCCCATTAAGCATTCTTCTTTGAAGTATGATGAAAATTTGATTATAATGTCTTTGATTGTGCTCTTTTGGCTCTTTTTCTCCCCTGGCAGTGCGCACAGTCCAGATCTGCTCTCTGATATTTAATTTCAGGAATTATATCTCCAGTCCAGTCAGCAATGTCTCCAACCAGTTGATGCACATCTTTGTCAGGTCTTTCTTTCACACCACTAAGGTGTAGGTTCCCTTTCCTCTGTTTGCTTTCCATGGCTATTATTTCCCCCCCAAATCATTTATTTCTTTGTCAATTCTTTTCATTTCCATAGCATTTAATGTTATTTTATTTTCATTCTCTTTACTTCTTCCTGTGACATCCTGTAGTTGCTGAGTATTTTTTTCCCATTGAATTATGCAGTCTTTCATTCAGATTTTTAAACTCGGTCATTTTTTGAGCAAATTCTGGTTGCTTTTCTTTCTCAGGGCTTTTCCCTTTTCTTACATCCAACTTTTGCACCTTTTTTTGCTTGATTCTCTGCAGCTTATGATCTGAATATCTATTTCTTAGCCAAACTGTTTCCTGACTTTTAATTTTTGGTTTCGATTTTTTGCATGAGTTCTTTATTATGAAGAAAACGTTATTTTTATATTAAATAATCCTTTTTAAATTCCACCATTGTGCTTTTCAAACTGTTACTTCCCTCTCCATTCTCAGATTTGTTACAGCTATTGTCCTGTAGTCCGGAAACAATCAGGAGTTCACTCAGCTTTTGGCAATTCCTGCTCTCCATTTCCTGACATTGATCTCCATTTGATACATATATCACAACATGGCTCAAAATATTTGTCCCAAGTTCTTTTTTCCCTTTTCCTTGAGATACATAGGAAGGTGGTCACATCCTATTGCTTAGGTGGTCACATTCCTACAGTTATAAACAAGCCTTTCACAAGCTGGCTGTTTATACTCTCTCTCCATCATTAATCATTCTGCTTTTAACACGTTCTGTTGTTCTCTAGCATTTTATGATGATTGATTACTTTTTCTCAGTCTGCTTGGCTTCTGATCCGTCAATCTTTAGCACTAAGAAACCACAGTCTTGCTTATTTCTAACAGTCTTTTAATTGTCTATAACTGCATTATTTTCTCTTAAATCATTCGATGCAATTCAGCAAAGTTCTACTCACAAGGGAGAATGATGAGAAACCAAAGAAATCGCCTTTAAGCTGGGTAATTTTTCTTATTCATGAGGTTCCAATGCTGACTCTTCCCGCCTCTTTACATGTTTTCTTGAGGAACTTCTGAATATTTTTACTAATCCCAAAAAAATTTAGGCAGGCGTTAATCCAGCTATATGGCAACGATTCAAATGCCTTTTTATAGTATATCCAGGCCATGTTAAGATTTGTTTTTTGTCTTTTTGCATTCTTTAGCATCATTTTATCAATAAGTAGCTGATCTTTCATGCCTCTTGACTTTCTACTCTTTCTGTTCAACTGACTATAGGGAGTTTTCAATTAAGTAATCATAATCTTGCAAGAACTCCTGTGAGAAGCTTGAATGTTGTTGAAAGGCATGTAATTAGTTGATAATTACTAGTTCATAGATTGACCTTTTGATTATCTTTTATTATCGGATGTGAGTGGCCTGTTATCATCTAACCTGCAGTTGTAGAATTTTAAAGTAAGTTATTAAATTGCACTTCTATTTATTTATTTTATTTATTTATTCATTTCATTTATACCCCGCCTATCTGATCAACTGTGACCACTCTAGGCGGCTTACAACACACACTATAAAAAGAATTAGACATATAACATAATACATAACATAATTTACATAAATAAAAAGAAATAAATTTTTCCCCGAAGATGGCAGAAAACACGGTATATTGTAACAGAATAGGAAAGAAAGAATAATTAGGAATTAACTGGAAGGGGGGAAGGCCTGCCTCAACATCCATGTTTTCAGTTGTTTCTTGAAAATACCCAGCAAGGGAGCCGCGTGAATCTCAGGAGGTAAGCTGTTCCAGAGGTGAGGAGCCACCGCCGAGAAGGCCCGGTTTCTTGTCTTTTCCTTCCGGGCCTCCCTCGGCGTCAGGCTCCTCAACCTCACCTCCTGACTCGCGCGAGTGACACGGGTAGAACTGGGTGGGAGTAAGCGTTCCGCCAAGTATCGAGGCCCTAAACAGTTTAGGGCTTTGTACATAAGCATCAAAACTTTGAAGTCAATGCGGAACCGAATGGGCAGCCAATGCAATGCGGCCAGAATAGGAGAAATGTGATGGTGTCTTCTCACTCCACTCAGGAGTCTGGCCACTGCATTCTGCACCACTTGGAGTTTCCGCGTCAGCCTCAAAGATAACCCCACGTAGAGTGCATTACAGTGGTCTAATCTTGAGATTACAAGTGCATGGACCAAGGTGGTGAGCGCCCCCGCATCGAGATAGGGTCGCAGCCGGGCTATCCGTCAGAGATGAAAAAAGGCAGTGTGGACCACCGATGCCACCTGAGTCTCCATGGAGAGCGCTGGGTCCAGATGGATCCCCAGACTGCGGACCCCACTCTTTGTGGCAAGGGTCACCCCCCCCAAACGAGAGGGATTCACCCAAGCCGCCAACAGTGGGGGCACCAACCCTCAGGACCTCTGTCTTGTCCAGGTTCAGCTTCAGCCCGTTCTCCTGCATCCACTCCAGTACAGTCCCCAGGCAGCGCTGAAGGGACAGGACGGCATCACCTGCAGTTGGTGAAAAGGAGGTGTAGAGCTGGGTGTCATCCGCATACTGATGACATGATGCCCCACATCCCCTGATGACCCCACCCAGCGGCCCCATGAAGATATTAAACAGCATTGGGGAGATAATCGACCCCTGTGGAACCCCACAACTGAGACTCCACGGGGCCAAGACACTCTCCCCAAGCTGTACTCTCTGGGGACGGTCCTCCAAGAAGGAACGGAGCCAGGCAAGCGCCCGGCCACCAATTCCCAGCTCGGAGAGCCTCCCCAGGAGGATACCGTGGTCGACGGTATC